AAAAAATATACAGGGTTACTGTATATGATTCTAGCATCGGAGTGTCATAGAAAAACAAAAGAAAATTTGCCCCTCGATTTTTTAAATCGATTTATAAATTAAATATTTTCATAGTTTTTTTTATTAGAATATTTTGCAAGATATTCATTCCTGCAGGTCAAATTGGAATATCTCCACTCATCACCCAAAAATCTTCGTTCGCATAATAGAACGCAATAATTCTCCTAAAAAATACTAACTATTCTTACGTCTTTTATTAAAATCAAAATTTCGTTAAACAATCACATAAATAATCTTGTCATTTTCAAGTAAGAACATGCAAATGAAATTGAATGCAAAATTCGTAAATAAACAGCTACAAACCCAATATATTACCTAAATTGACAACATTATGCACCAGTTTTTTCGCATTCCTTGTATACTTTGTTACAATGCATCAAAAAGAAATCTATGAAAAAATAATGAACTGAAATCAAGAAGAATTTACTTCTTGATTTCATAAAGATAAATCTGTTAAGTAGGTCATTACTAATGAAGCACTGTGTACCTACATACTCGTATTTAATTATGTACGAATTTTTTTTCAGAAATTAAAATGAAGCTTTTTTTAAATTTCATACCTATCCATCAGCCTACTCGTATTTAGTTATGTACGAATTTTTTTTCAGAAATTAAAATGAAGCTTTTTTTTTAATTTCATACCTATCCATCAGCCTACCAGGTTTTATTTCATATGTTAAATAAATATTCGCAAATACATATCTTTAATAGACAAAAAAGTAGAAAAAAAAACAGATAGGACTAGAATACAAGTTATAAATACAAAGTTTTCTGTAATTAATACTCGATTTAATCAGTGTATGTCGAGTATTCAACCTTTCAGTATCTTTCATATTATTAGTCTTCAATACGGGTTGTATTGCGTCAGTTTGAAATAAAACCCATTTATTTAAAAACAAAAGAGAGTATAGAAATATAGGTACAGCCATTTGATATAAGATTTATATTTTTAAACCCCCGATACTTATTTATAAACAGGGTGACACGCGATTTATTACTTTACCACGTTCCCAAAGATATTTAAAAAATACTTTGTGAATTTGTCAAAATTTGACAATTTCTCGTAAAGTAAGAAAACGGTTTCATTTTACACCTTTTGAAAAATGAATAAAACCAACACTTGTCATCGCATACATACATAAAATTGTTTCAATTAGATATGGTTAAACTTGATATTATGTAAGTGGAAATATACATCATGCATTAGGCAAACAATATAATAAAATTCGATCTTAATAAATACGTGAAAATTAGAAATATCATTCCTCTTTGTTTATGAATACAATTTTCAATCTACTGCGAGTGGGAAATAAATTTATACCTAACTAAAAAATGAGTAGAATTTGTTAATCTGCTCCCAGTACAACCAAATCTTTTGAACTAAAATAAAAACAATGATAAAATTGCTAATAAAGTGTCAAATGCTTTAATATTTAGTAATACTGCTAATACTTATTAACTTTGTCATTTCTAGAAGCAAAATGGCAAAATGCAAATGGGTTGTAGTACAAATACTTGTATTTTTATTACTTAAATATTTGTTTTACATAAAACCACTCATTATTGACCATACTAGTTTGTAATTAGTATAAAAATAGTTTAAAACTGTCCCTGAAAAAATTAGAGAATAACACAATAACAGGTCCAACTTGTTGCACTTCACATTACCTGCTTTTTACACCCAATTTGTAATTTTTATGTTTATTGTTTTAATACACCAATTACATAATTGTGCTCAATTTAAGCAACAAATCTTACGTTAAATTACGTTGATATCCGTGTAGATAATTATTCTGCAATTAAGAATTCATTAAGAACGTTCACCTTTTGTTCATATCATACTAAATTGAAGCATGCAGGTGTCTCTTCCAACATAGCCAAAATGATATTCATTCATTCATCAAATGCCCACATTATGAATGTTTCATAAATCGTATTTAATGAACTCGTACTGTACTGAGTGTTTTAACATATAACGGAGCATTAAATTTTAAAAAAATCGCTTCTTTTAATTAGCATAATAAAAGTGGAAAGCCCAGAGTTGCTTATTAAAAACTAAGACCATTCATCTCTGGTGTCTTCTAAGGTTAAGCCCCTATGACATTTGTACGGCCAAGACACAATAAATCTATCCTCAATTTTGAAAATATATACCGCGGTTTGCCAATTCAAAAAAAAATGGATGATGTGTCAGGAATCCCCAAGATGAATAAAGCAAACTTCCACTTATAATCTTTTACCTATAAATTAAGGTAACACTGAAAACAACCGCAGTTTTTTCTGATCCCATTCATGTATAAGTCTGATTTCTATGATAAAAATTGAATAACAAGAAACGTCAGAAACTTCAATGAAATCAGCGTTTGTGAAAGAATTAGCATCTTCATGAAATAATTGAACTGTTTATGGCCGCCATGAATATTGATAAGCTAACAGTTCGCGATTTGTCCAAAAACCTATATCCTATTCTGAATCCTCATTCCAAATCGAAACGTAATTTTTTCAACAAACAACGCAATTAAAAAATTAACCATATTGACTTAATTTCGAAAACATTTAGATCCCTTTTTCGTCACCAAATATCTGAAAAATCTTCAATTAACATACATTCAAAACAAAAACAAAGTGGATAATTCTTGGCATTGTTTGTCTTTTATGTAAATGTTTTCTGAGTGTAACTTTCCTGCAGTGACGACATAAACTGACGATACAACTGTTGGATTAGATTTAGAATACTCACATAAATCTGGGAAAGAAAGCACGTCGAGAAACTCCTCTCTTGACTTTTCAGTCACTACCACAATCATGAAAAAATCGCTTTCGTTTCGATTACTTTCATTGCACAGATTGTAATCCTCTCCGCTTCGATAAAGTCCATTTTTTCATAATTTAGACAAGGTCATTATCATTAGTTGGACTTTTAATGTATTCGTGACGAGTTATTTGTAGAAAATCCGCGTCTGACCCCGATTTGTTGTTTAAATGTTTGTCGCGAATTCGCAAATTCTTCTTTGTTACGAGAACTATTTACTCGATTTCCAATGTTGGGGTTCATTAGCTCCCACTGGTCTTTTTCTGATGTGTAACAATGATCAAGGATTATAAATATTTATTGGCAATATTATAATAAAGAGAGTTGCATAGACAATAGGGCAGTGACTCGGGAGAAAAATCTCAACAATGCAGATATGGAGATATGTTTTGACAAAGCAGGTGTCATAAATTTTCATTATTTAGTGATGTGGCATCAGGGGGAAAAAACTGAGGAGGTGGTGTCCTGATTCTCCTTGAGATTCTTTATTGTTACGGCATTAGTTATCGGTTTTGGATCTTGTTAAAGAAACCAAACCTGACTGTGTCATAAAAGATTTTGTGTTTTTCTGATCGAAAGATTCAATGAACTCCAAAAATTTCGTTGACCTGAGACTTTTACTTACAATGTTTGCATATTTTTTAAGCTTAATTTTACAGCTAAATAAGTATCAGGAGCGTCAACTTTATCCGCACCTAAAACCACCTCTCATAGAGGTAAAAAATTGGAGCTGCCCAGTTACTTTGTACAGTTGGTTTTTTCACCTTTTCTTAATTCCAATTATACGTCAACGATTTTGGCATATTGGTGTATTTTGATATAATGCAACAAAATGAATAATTGCATTTTAGCGGGAATATGTCGTTTATTTTAATTCGCATTTTGATATTAAATCACTTATTTTCTCATAAATTATGGTGGAATTGTAAAATTATTTCATAAAAGAGCTTTAGAAGAGTCAAAATTTATAGTATTTGTGTCATAAATTCCGCTCGCGACGTATCTATCCTCTTAAATTTACCGGAGAAACAAATATATTTTTTAAATTTATTAAATAAGAATTATTACTTTTAACACAGAGGTTTTACTTTTACCGGCTTTCATTTGAAAAGCGAAGCTAGGATTGTGCTTCCCGGTGGTTAATTTGCTTCAGTTATTAGAGTTTTGGATTCTTTTGTTTTACAAATTATTATTATTACTACATATTTCAATAAGTCATAAATTATTTGAAAATTAACAAATATAAAATATTTTTGCAGTAAAATTTTTACAAATCAATTGATTTTGATACGTGTTTTTGACCAATTGGTGAAAAAATAGTAAAGCGCATAATATCTTTCAAAATTTTTCTTTAAAAGGTATTTAAGAGCCTGCAGAGAACACTTGACGCAATTCCTGTAAAAATAATTTTACCTAAGTACCTATAAAGTGTACGTCTGAGGTCTTCCTTTCAGTTTGGCGAGAAGTGAGTTTATCAAATGTCTGCTCGCAAATGATGCAAAACGCTAATAACAATAGTAGAACTGTTTAAATCGTTATTTATTAGACCGTATTCGTCCAAATGAAGAGTTTGTGAATATTATAGCTTCTTCGTTCATAAATGCGAAAATATTCTAATAAAAATTTAACACAACGCAGTTTTTGGCATAAATATGTATTTTGTCAATTGAATGTGATGAATAAACAGTTTTAAAATGAGGTAAACATTAATAAAAAAATAATTTTATGATTATATAAAAAATATAAAATGTGAAATTGAATAAATTTATTTAATATTTTTGTGAAATAAATTTAATTATGTATATCCAAAACACGTTACATTGGAATAAATGAAACATAAAACATACGTACGTATATTTGCTAGTTTTTTTCAAAAACCTTACAATTTTTTTTAACCTGCTGCGAAATGCAATTTTATAACCACAGAAAAAGAAAAAATTTGCGAAATATTCAAGGTAACGTTAAATTTGTAAGTGAAAAACGTATAAATAATTTTCAATAAAATTGAAAAAAAGTTTACAGTTTGCTAGTTAATTATTTTCAAAAAAAAAGTTTCAACGAAATTTATTTATTATGTGTTTATTTTTATAAAAAGCAAATTCTTCGTCAATTCTTCTGAGCCACCAATTATTTGGTGAAAGTTTAAACAAATGTAAAAAAAATGAAAAAGTGCTACACTACCTGCCCATTCATAGTAACCTTATCCTGTATAATCAATTAATCATAAAGCTCTGCAATTCAGTACCGTTACAATTGTTTTTTTTAATAATCCAGCATTATTTTAGGAATGGCATAATTAATAATAATAATAAATGCCTTTATTAATTAAATAGTGTGCTGATACATATTGGCATTCTGCTATGGCGAAGTCTAGCTGATGCTACTCCACTTAAACCCTAGCAGAAGCAATTACAATGAACTTAATTCCTAAAATAAACATATATTCCGTTGAAATTAGAACTAAAATAAAATGAAGATAAATTAACACATATTATTCAATTCAAACAAGAAAACAAATAAAAATAAGCAAGAAACAAAATTACGTATTATGCTGATGGTAATAAATATACCTTAATAAGCTTCTTAAAATTGTTTACTGATTTTGATTTAAATGCAGAAGGTACAGAATTATATAATTTGACAGCATTAAAAGTAAAAGATCTTGTAAACAAACTACTTCGGAAACGAGGCATAGACAGAGAATCAATCTGACGTAAGTTAACGTTATGAAAATTACACCTACATAAAAGCTTATCACAAAGGTAGAGGGGAGAAGTGGTTTTAAGAACATAATTACCAATTATGTATTATAAAAAAACTAAAATCATTAATTAAATTGAAGATTTATCCAAGTTTTCTATTGTTAGTTGCTCTTTATTAAAAATTCTGATAACATTAAATTAAACTTTAAACTTTTATGCACAATACAAAGTCTATTAATAAATTTGTAATATTTTTTTCCGTTCTGTTCCTAGCGGTGTAGCAGCCTGATTTAAATCTAAGTAAACAGAGAACAGTAATAACAAGTATACTAAACACAATAAAAACCAATATACCCGAAAAAACGGTGTTATAAAAAATTATTTTGCAGGCCTTGCATTGTTTCTTCATCAATTTCAAAGATTTATTTATTATTTATTATCTAGAAATTTCAACTATGTAGTTAAACTATAGGTATGTACTTTATCAGTGCTTTGAGTTTTTTTGTTGGATAGGATATTTATTATAATAATTCTCTAGGAT